CCTCCATGTTCCCACAACAAATCAATACCTCTGGGGGTACTGATCCAGGAGTTTCCTTGTCTTCTGGATTGGTTCAAAATTACAAGGCTACGGAGTTGAACATTAGTAGTCGTAAACCCATGAAATTGGGTCGGCTGTTCAACGACGGTTATAAAATAAAATAAAAAGGTTCATATGAGAAATATGACTATAAAAAGTTAATACAACAATAAAACTAACATAAATGCGTGACAAAATTTGCTTAAACATACTGACTTTGAAGAATTTCTTTTAAAAATATTATGGGAGGCAAAATACATTTAATGCATAATTGCATACATTGAATCTCTGAAATAAGTGAATTGTTAAAGAACTCTCCCTTCCACATACATTACATAATGAGGGTTATATAGGATCAAAATTTTGAATGCAGACATTGAAATTAGACATTTAAAAAATAATTCGGTTTTCCAGAGTCTCTTTTGAGGTACTTTTATCATTATACAATTAAAAAGAAAGCGATGGGAAAAAGTGACTGGTTGTATGTTTAATTTAATTCGCCACATTTTGTTTTGTTGACTCGCCATATGGCCAGCGGCTATGTATCCGATTGTTTCTTAATGTGCGACAACTTCTTTTAACATTATTCTCCTTAACCTATAATTACAAGAATTTTTGTGCTTATTTACTTTTATGCCATAAAGCAGAAGACCTGGGACTGCAATCAACATGCCCTGTAAAAAATATCATGTTAGGTGTACAAACAATGTATGTTTATTTTTATATCCCTGCAGAAAGTTGTCTGAGTCGGAATAAAAATTGTCAGCTGCTAATGATTTTTTTTTACAATTCAGTATACATTCATGCTAAATAAGTTTTTAAGTTAAATTAATTAAGTTTCTTTCTTTTTGAATTTAAGTTTGGAAAAAAATAATCGTCATTGAAAAAATAGTGATAATTCAATTAGCGAAGCATAATAATACCAGCTGAGGAGACCTTCTAAAAATTTGTAATTATCAAATAAATTGTTGCAATACATTGGGTTTTTTCTGCTTTTGAATTATTTTGGGTCTTTATATGTAAACTAGGTATATTTTCAAATGCTGTCAACTATTTGAAAATATATTCTCAAATATTGTTAAAAGCTGTTTCCTCTTAAAGCAAAAGTGTAAGAACGTTAAAACTAGCTAAGCACGTTAAAACTAGCTTCCGATTACGGAAATTTTGCCATCAGTTTACGGTTGAAAAATAGTTTCTGGATCAAAAAAAAGTATTTTAATTCAAGAACATAGTTTTTTTGAAAACAAAGAACATAGCACATAATTTTTTGTAAAAAGCATTCCAATATACACTACTGGCCATTAAACTAGCTTAACCAAGAGGGAATGCAAATAACAGATTGATATCTATTGGGCACATACATTATAATTGGAAGAACAAGTGATTAAATTTTTAAGATATTTGGATTTATGGATCCTGAGGAATCAGTACTCAGAGCAGCCTCCCATGGCAGCAATAACAGAAGTTATTCCCCTGGGCATCGAATGGGATAAAGATTGGATAGAATAAACGGGTACAGCATTCCATGCTGCTTCAACATTATGCCACAATTGGTCGACCTTAGTGACTGACGAGTGGTGGTGTGCCAGGCGTTCGGCAACCATTGACCAGACGTTTTCAATTGGTGTAAGAGAACGTGCTGGTCTGGGCAACAGGCGAACATGTTCTGTGTGAAGGAAGGTCAGAACAGTGCGAGCAACATGAGGTCGTGCTTTGTCCTTCTGAAACGTAGCGTTATGGAGGCCTCGAGTTTAAGGCAGAGCAACTGTCCCCAACACATCAGAAATGTAACGACTGCTGTTCAAAGTGAACAAGATGTGATCGAGACGTGTATCTAATGGCACCCCATACCATTACTCCAGGTGATGGGCCTGTATGACAATGTCGAATGCAAGCTGAAAATGTGAGTTTGCCACGATGTCGCCAAACACGAATGCGGCCATCATGATGCTGTATACAGAACCTGGATTCGTCTGAAAAGACAACGTCATGCCATTCCTGCGTCCAGGTACGTCGCTGATCACACCATTGGAGACGCTCTTGCCTGTGATACAGCGTCAGGGGTAGCCGAAGCCGTGGTCGCCGTGCTGACAGTACATGCTGCTGCAAACGTCGTCAAACTGTTGTCTTGCAAATGTCCCCATTTGTTGACTCAGGATTCGTGACGTATCTGTACGATCTCTTAAGGCCATGTGGATAACATCTAGACTGTTAGTGATGGAGGGGGGGGGCTGAAATCCTGCACGGTGTTCCCTATGACCGTCATGAACCTATCGATTCCATATTCTGTTAACAGCCATGGGATCTCGACCAAAGCAAGCAGTAATACTTCGGTATGATAAACCGCAATCCCGGTAGTCCACAATTTGACCTCGATCAAACTCAAACAGTGATTTTGAGTTAATTCTACTGTAATTAATTCTACTGTAAAAATCCTATCATTAGATCAAAATTTAGTCAACTATCTTTTTTGCTGCCGCTAAAACGATACGTGTAAAAAAATTAACAATTCATAGATTTATTTTTCGAAAAAATACCTTCTTAATGAACATTTTCGTATTCTAGAGACCTTTCTAATTATTATCATACTTGAGTCATTTTAATATTTGGGTGTTGTTCGTCTAAAAAAATAAATTTTTTTTCCAGAAATTCTTGGAAACTTTAGATGATTTCTCACTGTATCATCTTTATCAACAGACAGTTACAATGTTTTAAGTTCCTTTTTTGAATGCTTTCCTAAAGTCAATAAAATAATGGTAACTTATAATACAGTTGTCTTTAGTTTTTCTACGAATGTCTCGGAAGGCAAGAAGTTGATCTGTTGTAGATCTTTGAAATCTTTATCCACAATTGTAGTTACCAATCCCATATATTTTAAATGCCGTAATGATGCCATGGAAATGCACTTTTAAATAAGACATTAAAGTTTCTGTTTTAAAGAAGTAGGGCAAGATGTGTCTTTTCTTCCATTCAATATGTACAATCCTCAAAAAAAATATATATAAAGATATCACCCTGAATAACTTTCGTTCTAATGATCGGATTTTCACGAACTAGGCGTCAATCGTAATGGTTCCTGGGGGGTGACCTCAAATATTCTAATTAATTAGTGCTAACTATTAATTAAGTTACAAAATTGGGCATTAAAACGTACTTTCTCTGAATAAACATGTATTATTTCTTACATATTTGGATTTTTAACCTTCAAAACATAGGGGTTAGCCGAAATCTGGGAAATGTGGTCCCCATAGTTTGGTCAGGAGAGCGATTCAAAGTTTGGACCCCTTAATGTTAATTTTACTTTTTGCGTTTTTAGTCATATTTTAAAAACTAATTAAACAATTAAAAAAAATTCTCCCACTCATGAAACTCATTGACCCAAAAATAATTTCTTGCAAAAAATAATTTTTAATAATTATTTATTATTTTTTATCATTTAATTAAATTGAGGATGAAAAATTTTTAAATTATGAGGTATGAATTTTTTTATACCATATTAATCTACATATTTTTCAATTGAAAAATCTAAAGTTTCAACTGTTTTTATTTATTAGAAGCTGAGAAAAATTAAAATTAATTATTTTTAAAAAAATAATTTGGTGACACTGAAGAAATAATTAAATGGGCGATTAATATTAAAATATGATAAACTTACGAGGAACTTGACTTCGCGCGTAGCGTAAAATTTCATTCATATTTTTTTCGCTAATGCTAATCTTTTTATTTTTATTTCTTTCAAACTATAAAATACGATGTTTCTTTTTTAGTCGTTTAATAATTTATTTGCAATTTAGTAAAGAGATTTGAATAAAACATTTTGAATAAAAAACACTTTATTCAATGAATGTCTAGTTTTATAAAAGCGTGCTTCTGATGGTGGAATACACCAGATTGTGCTTATTTAATTTGATTATTTTTTATTTTTTAATTTTTTTTTCTCAATAACTGATACAATTTCAATAATATACATGCGTATGCATAGATTTGGAATAATATATTTATCAATTTCTTGAATACATATTTTATAAATATTAATAAAAATACGTAGTCAGCATTTTTAAGCATCTCTCACATCATTGCAAATTTCTCAACATCTTATATTTCGTCTTAATCTTAAAAGAAATTTTTAATCACCTGTCCTGGAGTGTTTCGCAGAACTATTTTACCAACTATTTAATTAAATTTTTACATTTTTAAAAATCTTATTCCTTACGCTACTACGTTTATTATTTCTTGATTAATATACTAATCATTTTTTAGTACTTTAATTTAGATTTTTTTTGAAGCAAAGTTCCTTTTTAAATTATTGTCAAGTTTTTTTAAAAAGAATTATTGTCTGCTAGCTAACAATAAAACCTTGTTAAGAAATTAAAAACAATCCGCTGTTTAAAGTTATTTGATGCAAAACATCTGATTATTTACTAAGGATACTATTTTTTTTTCTTCGAAAAATGAATATAAATTATTGATCGTCTTTTTTTTCTTTTCTTTTNTTTTTTTTTTTTTTTTTGCTAATGCTCTTCGTTAATGCTCTTAATTACTAGCATCATTTCGACCATTTTTCGTTAGCTAGAGTGCCCAAATTTCAAATGGAGCCCTATGCCTGATGACAAAGCAAGTTTCGGTTTCCCCTAAAGATAACAAGCAAACTTTATTTATTCGTCGTTATATCACTTTCCGACAGACACAAAAGTAAAATTAGGAAGAAAAAAAAACAAGTTTTTAAAATTGTTTTAATAGGAAAAAATAACCGTATTTTCTTAACGCCAAATAAATAACAAAATGAACCACCGTAAAAGTTCACCCCTCATCTGACGATTGCAATGCGCCCTGTGTTTTTTCGTCTTTTGCGTGATTAAAAAATAAATATTCTCCCTTCCTTACAGAACACATTAAAAGCGTTCAGCGTAAAATTTCAATTTTATCCAATTTTTTCAATAAAATATTCAATTTTTTCAATTCTTTTTAAATAAAACGCAAAATGTGTCAGGCAAATTCAATTTTTCAAAGGTATTCCTATGTTATTGCATATAAGATTTCTTTTCGATATTTCTTTAATTCATTATCTCTACAAATTAAAAGTCTTTTTTTTTTTCATTTCAGTGTTGCTGTGCGTATTCAGCGAAATCAGGCTGAGAAGCAAAGGCGTGACCGACTCAACGACCAGGTTGCTCAGCTGGCCACTATTGTACCCCCAGTTCTAAATGCTTCAAAGCCTCTTGACAAAGTTAGCATCTTGAGACTATCAGCGTCATGGATGAGGCTAAACTACAGTGAGTATTATGATCTCTCATGTATTCAGAAATTTTTGCGTGTAGTTCAAAGATTGGATATTATCTTAGAATGAATGTGTATGAGATATGCTTGGAGTATTTTAAGTACTTTTCGGTTAACCGGGCTCAAGAAAATTGAACTATCGTTTTTTAAAATTTACTAGGAGGCTCCGCACCCTGCTCGCTGACGCTCGCCAACCCCCGAGAATTGCTACGCAATCCTATGTGGTTCACGCCGTGAACCATGGCTCGCTGCGCTCGCTCGCCAATGAACACAATGTTCTAGCACAAAGACATAATATATTATCATCAAAGACATAGTATTTTATCATCAAAGACATAGTATTGTACTTATGTAGA